GTACACAGGAGAGAAGCAGCACTAGAACAAAGAAGAGACATAGAAAAGGACATAGAAACTGCTATACCAAATTGAAGCTCTTTATGACTAGGACTGAAGATTTTGTTTCTAAGATAATCTCTAACCATTTCATCTATAACTCTAACATGCCACTACAGTTATTGCTACTCTCCCAAAATGCTGTGCATTTTTCAATTCCCAGTGTCTTTGTTTATAGTTAGAGGGCTGGTACTCTGGAGCTAGGTAGAGGCAGATCACTTACGCCATCTTTAAAACATCAATTTGATGAACACTATTATATATGAGCTTTTAATTCCAGAATTCACTTTTCCCTTGGATATCACTGCCAAATGTTTCTTTTGAGGAGAAACTTACTTGGGTAAGTCTGGCAAATTAGTTAATTTCCTTTGGCCTCAGCTTTTCTTCTGTAAAACTATGATAACAACAACACTGTTTATAAGGCTGTTTGGGGAATTACCTAAGAAATGGGCCCAATCAAAATGCCCAATCAAAACTATCATCATCTTTCATAAAAACATTGACAATTTTTCATTGCACAAGGAACTGAGTCATTGCGTCTAAGTGTTAAAAGGTAGCCTGAATGATGGCTTAGAACAATGGCTTTTTTTTCTTTTAACCACAACCTTAATAAGAGAAAAGTTTAACACTGTTAACTACTGTGTGTGTGTACTACTGTGTGTGTGTATACACACATACACACTGCATTGTATGTGTATACAAGTTACAAGAAGTAACATTTACCTCCTCTACATGCAAAGCATTCTTATTTCCTATTTTATTCTTTTTTATGCAAATTCTAACCCACTAAATTGATTTCAATACCTAAAGTTTTAAAAACACTGGTTTAGATTACTTTTTCATACTTTTAAAGAGGGTGGTCAATTTTTAAGTTATTATTCCTATTATTGCATGCTGTGTACAAAGTATTGCTGAGTAAGTTAAAACCAAACGTATTATTCATATTAACTAAGGTACACATCATGCACAACTTAAAATATTTTCTTATCACCCTCTTAACAAACATCCATGCTCATCTGGCAATTTCTGGGCTAATCATGAAAGTGTTACTAAATAAGGGCTATTAACTGAGATCTATCTTACAGGACTAAGGCTTTTCCTCTTTTGATGGCAAAGTGCCCCGTGATTCAAGACTGAGTCACTCTGCCCACAAATGGAATATTAACATGCTCTTAAAAGATATCAACAGTTGGCCTCTCGGTTCAGTAAGAAAGCACTGGCATTATTAACTTCTCTACCCACAAACAAAATGCCTGCTGGGAAATTCCATCTCCTCAAAAGAAACATTTGGCAGTGGTGTCCAAGGGAAAAAGTGAACTCTGGAATTAAAAGCTCATATATAATAGTGTTTAGAATTTCTGTTCATCAAATTGCTATATTAAAGATGGCATAAATAAGTAATGAGAGAATATTTCCAATTCATTAACTTAAAATCAAATCTAGAAAGGGGCTATGAAGAAGAAAACAAGAAGATAAAAATGCAGAATACTTACATCTGCACTGTCACTACTGGGCCGAGAAGCATCTCCACTGCTGTATTCAATTCTGCCCAGTCCATCACTAGAGTCTGCTTCTATTTCGCTGACTGTTAATGTGTCACCTAAAGGCTTTGAGGGTATAACTACAGCTCCATCCTAAAACAGATTAAACACACACAAATACATTAAAAAAATCTTTCATTATTGACTATCTAAGATACAGAGTTGTACTACAAATACAGAGTTGTACTACAAACTAAATGGAGACTTAAAAGTTGGACAGTTTTATGTGATCAAAATGCTTTTAAAAATGCATGCGTGTGTGTGTATATATATATATATATATATATATATATATACACTCCATTAGTAAAATTTTTCAACCACGTACTTAATTCATACCAACAAAAACTGAGTCAAAAAAAAAAAAAAGAACAAGAAAAAAGCATGCTTAGAGCTCTAAAAATTATTAAGAGCACATCTACTAATTCTGTGTATCTAAAATGGCCTGACCTTAAGGAGAGGAAAGTGGTATTTTAGTAAAAAGAATAAAAGTTCAACTTTCCTATTAGGTTAAGAATGTACAATAGTTTGTTACTTTATATAATTTGTATTTCCTGCCCAATAATAAATATTAATACAGTATAAAATTCTGGTTAACTATCTTCCAACACTTTCAATGAATTGCTAATTTGGAGGGGCATAAACTATAACATAACTGTCATAAGTTTTTACTCTAGAAACCACATTTTTACTGTTAAAACAGTAAGATTGTTGTGTTTGCTAAGTAATAACAAAAACTGCAAACATTATTGAGGCATAATACTCAAAACTTCATATAGTTATTATAAGTCATTCAACCAGTTCAGGCCAAGTTTTCTAAACTACAACATTGTTTTTGAATTTAGAGTGAGCAGATTAGGTAGATGATCTCAAAGAATACTTTTAGTTCTACACTTCTATGGCTTTCACTTACAAACCAAACTCAAGAAGAATGACAAATGGACAGCTTTTGCTAAATTTAAATGGTGCACACAATTTGTCCATTTTCCTTTAAGAAGCTGTGAGTATAAGGAACTTTTCACATTTTAAACATGATTATTACAGAATACAAATCTGGTTGATATATAAATGCTGAGTTTTTTTTTTCTAATGAGACCATAATCTTCTCCCTCACTTATACCTATCTAGAAAATTACACTGAAATCTATTTTTAATTATAATAAATATATGGTTATTAAGAATATGAATGTACTTTGAATTCATTATATTGGATATGAATTCCAGTTTCATTCCAGCAATTTTGAGCTACATGACCTCAGAGAAGTTATTTAAACTTAGTTTCTGTTAGTGTATATGTTAAATGGGAAAAAACAACAGCAGAATCCAATCTCAGAGGGTTGTTATGCAGATTAAACAAGAATTTGCTTGTCTATGTATTTTAGCACAATTCTGTCATTTTGTAAAATTTTATATATCTCTAAATAAAAACCTCAAAAATGCAAACATATGTATCTAGATACATTTCAGTAGCTTGTGACATCAAAACAAAAGCACTCCATTCTTTTTTAAAATTATTATAACAAACATGTTATAAGCAAGCAATCAGAAGAACACCTATCTTTTAGTTAATAATTATTTCTGTAACGTCCTATACAGGACATACTGTTGGCCTATCCTAGGAAAAAATAACTTTAAAAAAGGCAACTGCAACATTCTCTGACACATTCCCAGAAGGTAATTCTCCTGCAAAAAGTTGGGTAGCACTTTTAATAGTGATGCTACCTGAGCAGAGCCTGTGGCTTTGGATAACTGCTCTTGCAGCTGAGGAATGTGTTTCTTGGCCTCTTGGATTTCTTTTAGCAATCTTTGGGCAGGTGTTCGGTTGTACTCTTCCTGCAATAACTGAAAAGTTATAAAAATATTTTGAGAATTAATACTTATATCAAGAAAATATAGAAAAATTCCATTCTTAATAGTTGATGGCATTGAATACAATATTGCTTGATTGTGACTATGATAAACACCAACTCAACTATGCCAACTCACATTTTTTACTAGCCTGTAAACAGCCCCATTTCTAATTTAGTACCTGTAGCTGTTCCTGCTCTCTCTGTAACATTTTTCTCAGAATTTCTACTTTCTGGTTATGAACCACATTGTTTTCCTCCTAGAAAAAGATAAACATGAGAACCAATACAGGGAAAATGGAGGTAAAATAAACAGTGAAAAAGAGGCATAAGTTATTCTTTCACTCCAATTTTCAATACCTATTAAGATTTCATTTTTTTCCAGCAGTTATGAGGACAGGATTTTAGATATGACATTTTTAAAGATAAAAGGTTACAAAGAAATTTCAGCTATTCTATTTCATTTTTATTAAACTAGGTTCACAAAAACACTAGTATTGCTATTAGTTGGAGAAAAGAAGTTGATTTAAGTATAAAATAATCTTATTTATTTCCCTCCTTTGGATCTTGCTATCAATCCTCATAAATGATTCAAATCCCCAGTGCTTTCTACTTTAAATATGAAGATAGTTCCCTAACTCATCTCCTGCCATCCCCCTAGTTTCACAACCATATAATATTTTATCAAATTAGTCTTCCTAAAACTCTGTATAATCACATTACTCTCTTGGCTGAAAATAATTTTAATGGATTTTACTGCCAACCCAATTACATGTAAATTAGCCTGATAGTTGTAATTTTTCAGACTAAATAGTCCAAGTTTTCTCAAGCTTATCTCAAACACGCACACACACACACACCCCCTTTCATGGCAACAGTCAAACAAGAATCCTGGCTACCACCCAAAAATACTTGGTGCTTTCTTGACACTTTACCTCTATTTATTCCTCTTTCTCTCTCTGGGTTGCCTTCCTCCCCCATGGTCACCATTTATAATGTTACTGTTAACTGCTTTTCAAGACTCAATTAAATGAATAGCTTTCCTTAAAATCCTTCCTTATCATAACTGGATATGCTTTTCTCCGTCCTTTGAATTCTCAAGAACTTAATATTTTTTCCTGTCATAACTTATAATTACTTGTTTACTTTTGATTCAGTCTCACACAAAAAGGTTTATTAAACATCTACTATATGCCGAACAGTATTTCAATCACAAAATAAAGAGAATAAAACCTATGGCCTCTTCAGTAGACATTCTAAGATAACTAAGGCCTTGAACATGGGTTATCTTAATTATATTTTTGTGAGTGGCACACTGAGTTATATATGGTAGGTGTTTAATATTTGTTGGATTAAATCCATTACCCTAATACTCTATAATCATTACAAATCACTACAAAATTTTTCTATTAGGAAATTACTTCTAAGAATTTTGAACTTTGTTTACCAGCTCAATATTGCAAAACTCTTAATATAAAGCAAAGGCATCATGATGCAACTAAGCATTTATAAATCAGTTTCCCCACTCTTACCCCCATGAGCACAGGACTAGTAATTCTCTCCATATTCCCAGATGCTCCAGGTGAATGAGGGGATGCCATGATGGGAGACATATGTCCAGAGACTGATGGTTCTACTTCAGAATCAGCAAGAGGAATCTGCGGTGATCCAGGTGGGCGTCCCTGAACAGTGAGAGCTACAAAGGAACCAGCTTGGGATGGGGAGAAGAAAGAAAGGGGAGGAAAAGGAAAATAACATTGTCAAAATATGTTTTAGAGTATTTAACTACGTTTTGACATTTCCAAGGGATCCAGTTATATCAAAAAGTTTCATCAGCTGCCAACCATTTTGCCAAAGAATAGGGACTCAACTTGTCATTTCTCTTTTACAACCCCTGTAAAAATCTAAAAGAACAATGTCCACTTCATATAGTAAATCACTACCCATAAGATCATATATTACTTAAAAGTAAATTAAATTTTAAAAAAGCAAGAATTTTTTTTAATTTAGGGGAGGCAATATCAACCATCCACTAATGGCTATGTTCAATTAATTTCTTAAAATTAAATTTTTAAAAACTGTATTTTAACATGATACCAATTAGATAGATTAATCTCCTGGAATGTAATGATGCCATTTAGAGTTAAATTTACAAAAAGAATATGACCAAAATATTCCACAAAAAAGGAAAAAAATAAAATTTGGAGGAAAGGATAGAAATTCACTAGGTATAAAAAGGAAAAAAAAAAAAACAACATAGAAAGCAAACTTAGCCATAACCAGGAAGACTGATCAAGAGACATTCATTATTTAGCTAGCACCAAGAAATGAGACTTTGCAAATAAATGACATTTCTATATAAATGACCTATAAATAACAAAAAAAAGACTTTTCAGCAGAACTTTTAAATGTATTTCACACTTTTCTCCCAATTTAATCCTTCCCTGGAACTCCCTGTTAGTTATTCCATTGGTCTAGGTTTTAAAAATTACTTTTTCTTATAATTAATGAAGACGCCAGCTATGATTTGGGAGATCATAAATATACACACTTTTTAAACTTTTTAATTTCATTTCTTTCTGTCAGAAAGTCATCTACTATTATTTATCCATATACTTGCCTCTAATAGCTTCCTCTAACAGCTGTCTTTAGCTGTTTTAAATTGCTATGATTTGACATCACTTTTATTATGTCTACAATATGCATTAAAAATAGGGCATGAGAGTGCTCTATTACAGGTACACAAATTTTAGGGAAAATTTACCTGTTTTGGATACTCAGAGTGTTTCATGCTTACTTTAAGTTTTTAGTTATGCTCTCACTATTGGATAAGTGTACTCTATTTCTATAGTCCTAGTATCTAATTCTTTAAGTAAAATTTATATGGGAATGAGTAAACATATAACCTAAAAAGATAAAGATATATAATCTTCCTTTTTGTACTCTGCAATAGTTATCAGGCACATATTTATCATAATAAATCATATTTCTACAGCACATAATCATGTATAAATCACAATTTCTTTAAATAAGTAATCAATGGTATTCAAGTATAGGGCTCTAATTTAAATTATTGCATTTTTAAAAAATGATCTAAAGTTAAGAACTATGATTGAAATGACCACTGGTTGCTGATGAACAGTAAAAGAATTCTTATGTTGCTTTACTTAAGCAATAAGTAGGAATTCGATTCATCGAATTTATTCTAAAGATGCCCACTATATAAAAAGAAATATGATTCAATAAAACAGTATTGTTTCTGTTTGGCCACAAACAACTGTCTTATTTGTAGTCCACTTTACTGTGGAATTTCCGATACAGAAGATGATAAATTTTAACTCTGGAGATTTCCAAGAGAAGATCACTACTCTGGATTAATCATTCTCTTATCTAAGAGAAAGTGATTATGCTACATAATATTTAAAGTTCCAGTTAGTTCATTTAGGCCATTGTACCTGATTTCCCACCCTCTTCCCTCTCAGATGATTCACACATTTTCTCAAATATATGCTATCAAAATTACCGAGAAAGACAGGATATTACAATCAACCACATACATGAAGTTGATGGAAGATAGTTATTAGTTATTAAAAATTTTCACCTCAGACTTTAATTTAGTGGTTGGCAAACCCAAGCCAAGGGGCTAAATCTAATCCATAGATTATTTTGGCAAGTCACGTTTTACTGACATTGCCATGCCCATTCATTACCTATTATCTATGGCTGCTTTGCTGCTACACTGACAGAGTCAAGCAGCAGAACATATGGCCCCAAAAGCCTAAAATATTAACTATCTGCCTTTTACAGAAAATATTTCTGAACCTTGCTTTAAGGGTTTCAGAAAACAATTAAAATTGAGAATAACATTCACCTACATTTGATTAGCTCCACCACCTGGAAATGATTTGAATGAGTCACCAGAGTTCCATTCACCTATAAGAAAATGATAATAATGTATGTCAGGTACTTTTTAGTGAGAAAATGGATGAACTGGCTTCAGGAGTTATACATAATACTACTAGTTATACTATCATACACTAAACAGGACAATATTAGATATATTTGACTCAATATTCACTCCATGGGGCCCTCTGGTGGGTTAGGGGTTAAGTCTCAGCACTGACACCACTGTGGCCAGAGTTAGTCCCTGGCCATAGGTAAGGCCATTCCTAACCCACATATGGTGCTGCAGACCTCTCCTGCTCCACCTACTGCTCCCCTTAGTAGTGTTCTACAGTAAAGCCACCTGCTCTGCTTCCCAATCTGTCTCTGGTGAATCCTCTCATCCCCCACACCTATGGCCTACACTCCAGTTCTTCTACACACACACACACACACAAAAAAAAAAAACACATTACCATTCTGTAAGGTATAGACAAACCAGACCTTGATTTAAAAGACATTATAACTTATTCACCAGGACAAATGACAAAACATAACAAGCAGATTTATAAATCCTTCATGGTGAAGAACTCGTGCAAACAGAAAAGATGTATTTGTTTATAATTATAAATTTGCTGATATGTCAAAACCATAAATTTTTTAAAAGATCAAAAACTAATGTGGAAATCTGCAATATCCAATTTATTCTGTTTTCCAGTCATGATCTAACCTTTTAAAAAGGGCATTAATTTTCAGACAGATTAAATGTAGGCTATGTTATCCAAAGTCTTCACTATGCCAAAGAAATTAAGATAAAAATATCAAACTTGGAAAACAACTCAGATGCCCAAAAACAGATGACTGGATCAAGTTGTGGTAAATATACACAATGGAATACTATTCAGCAATCAAAAAAGATAAACTAATGTCATTTGCAGCAACATGGATGGAGCTAGAAGGGATTATGCTCAGTGAAGTAAGTCAGAAGGAAAAAGAAAAATATCGGATAGTTTCACTTATAGGAGGAATATAGGGGAACCAAATAAGGTATCAGGGAAAAAAATAAAAACAATAAAAAAAAACCACAACAAAACAAAAATAAGTAGGCAACTATAAATCAGTCATTCCGCAAGGGAGGGAGATGGATCACAACGAGGGCGGGAAGAGCACAAAGGAATATGGTGATGGTGCACAGGTGAATTGGAAATTCTATAGGGGCTACACCTGAGAAAAGAAAGCAAACATTGTACAAAAATGCACAATGATGTAATATATATATAAAATAAATAATTTTTAAAATATATCAAACTTGGATCTAATACTAATACTATATATTTCTCTGAGGCAAGTAACACTAATTAATTCCTAAAAGCTTAAATATATCAGTGCATAAAGTAAGTAAGAGTATTCTCATCATACTCACCAAAGATAATTACTGTAAACAATGATGTTTAGTATCTTTGATATTATACTGTAATAGGATATACACACATTCATACTTCAAGTGTTTTTTTCCCCCGATATATTCTCATAAATATATTATTTACTTTAATTACTTTGGCAAATTACCTGATAAAATTCTTTGCCCATTTTTCAACTAGGCTATTCTTAGTATTTTTAAAAAGTATTAAGGATATCATACACTGTGTAATAAGTTTCAAATATTGTTTCCAGATTGTTCTTTACTTATAAAATATGTTCATGGTTCTTTTCCTGTACAGCAATTCGATTTTAAGTAATCAAATTAATCAGCTCTCTCAACAGTAATTACTGTCTAAGCCTTTCTTCCCCCTCGTGATCAGAATGCAAAGCCTGTTTCTGGACTCTATTGTGTTCCAATGATAGGTCTATATCTAGATTAGAGTTACTTGCTTAAAATTAATTCACACCATCTTACCTCATACATACCCATATATATAACACACATTTTACTTTAGCTATTCCTATACTTTTGTAAAGTTTAGTTGGAAGATTAACTTTCACAAGTAACAACATATTTCCCCAGCTCTGTTAGTATATTTTGAAGAGAATTTTTTTTTTTAAAGATTTTTTTATTTATTTATACAAGCACTGGGTACAGTCAGAAGCGCGGGAGAGTGAGAGAATTCACCAGAGCCAGAGCGGGGAGCAGAGCAGGCAGAAGGACCGAAGTACACTGCTGAGGGGAGCAGCGGGTGGCAGGAGAGGTCTGCGTGCCATGTGGGACCCTCCTCCGGTGGCCAGGGAGCAGCCGGGGATCGAACCAGCGCAGCAGAGGCTGCGGGCAGCTTCGCAACCCAGCACTCAACCACTGCGCCACTGGGGAGGCCCATGAAGAGAATTTTTGCAAAAAGATTAATCTGAGAGAAATGATCTTTACAAGCTATTCTCCTATAAAAGGACAAAGATGACTTCACTTATTCACATGTGAATATTATGCTCTTCAAGTAAAGGGTAGTATTAATCTTTAACTATATGAAATAAGTTTTTACAGCTAACAAATTCATCATATATAGTGTGCTTTTCATAAAAATCCAAGTTAAAGAAAAAACAAAATGATTAATATATGCAGTCTTTAAATTCTACCAGAAATTCCATAATAGTCTTCCTTACCTTGATGATACGATCGCCTGTCTGTACTCCAGCCCGCATGGCTGCTCCATCTGTAAGAGAAATTAATTCCTTAAAATGCAATTCCTTTGCATTTACTGACAATCTTCTTAAAAGACAGGCAGTGTAACAGAGTGCTTTAAAACATGGGCTACAAAGTCATACTTTGGTTTTCTATCACTTGTTAGTTATGGGACTTGTTGAAAAACTAACACACTTGTTAGTTTTTCTTTCCTATAAGCCTCAATATCACCTATAAAATGGGGATAAAAATACCTATCTCAAATTGCAGTGCCCAATATAAAGGAAAAATTCAATATATAGTAACAGTATTAGAAGACATTATTGATGTTTTTGGGGAAAGCATAGATGTATTTGAGCCTATATACATCTTTCTGTATCAAAATATCTCTGGTGCCTTGAAGAAATAAAATTCCACAAACTTTCTAGTGATGATGCAGAAAGTATCATGGCCAAGGAGTCATGATTTCTAAAACTATGTAGTTTGTAGAATACAAAGAAAATCAACCAGGGCAAATACATTCCTATAATTATGACATTGGAAATCTGGCTCAATAGGCCATATGACACATATGATATATGTGATTATTTTATGCTTAACTGGACATTATTTAAGTTTTTCTATTTCTCTGTTTGGTCCTAAATGACAACTGTTTAAAAAAAAAAAAATGCCTTGCCTTCTTTGACAGACTGTACGAAAACTGGATTGTCTCCACTGACCGTCAGCCCAAATCCATTGTCATCCTTCTGGATGATTACACAACGCTGAACAAGACCTGCACAAGAGCCAAAAGGTAAAGAGAGAAGAAAGAGAAAACAGAGAGGGGAGGGGGGAAAGACAATAATTACATATTAATAATGGACTGTATTCTCTCTGGAAAAACACAAGGTAGCACATGGAAACATACATAAAATAAGAGTACTAACCCCATCGACAAAACAAACACAAGAACACTATTAAGAGTTTACATATATGTAATTATAGGCACTATACATTATATATAATGTATAGAACACTAAATAGTGTTGTATATATATCATATATGTGTGTTGGTTTCTCACTGAAGAGGTATGGAGGAATTGCTCCAAGATTAAAAAGAGCTGTGGTAAACTGGAAAAGATGAAGTATTAGAAGAAAATTAGAATGTAAGTCCATTCACATCTATGCTGTTGCTTTGTTAATAAAATCTTCCCCTGCTGCCCTGTGTTTTTGGTGCTCTAATTGGTATTTAGCCCCCCAAAATCAAACATTTTGGGACATTAGGCTAGGAACATTATCCCTAAAGGTAAACTCAGAGAAACAGACTATACAAAGAAAGAGGTGTTGCAGGGCACCTCCCAAGCGGGAGAAAGGAAATAGTCAAAGGGAAGGAAGACTCTGGCTCACAGAAAAAATAAACAGAAAGGAGAAAAAAGTAGAAAAGACAAAAGAAAGAAACCATGTGCTCACCCAATTCTTTCACCTTTTCCATATACTTACATGATTCCTACAGGAGAATTTGCTTTTCTTTCAGTTAAATAGCAAATGAAAATTGTTCAAGCAAGGTAAGAAAAAGAGGACCACAACCAAAGGAATAGGACTGACCCGTGAGAGAATCACGATTAGTACCAAGGGCTGTTTTATCATAGATCAGATCTGAAGATCCTGAACTCTGTGATGTACAAAACCAAGGATGTGTAAAAGGATGCACATATATATGTGTGCATATGTATTTCCACTGTTAATTAAATATCACGAGTATGTGAACCTGCTACAGAAGAATGGAATAACCAGAGGTCAGAATGGAAAATATAAACCTTGAATCTTAACTCATAACCCTACAAGAATTAACTACAAAATCTTCTAAAGATACTGATAAGAAGACAAAAAGGCAAGCCACAGACTGGGAAAAAATATTCATAGTACAGATAATTGGTAAAGAACTAGTATCCAGGTAAAATAAAATAAAAAAAAAAAAAACAACTCGACAATTCAATAATGAAAGACATTTTAAAAGGGACAAATCCCCCAAAAAGAAATGGTCAATAAGCAAATGCAAACACAAAGATGCTTAATATCTGTAGTCAGTCATCAAGAAAATAAAAATTAAATCCACAAAATACCACTGTGTACTAACTAGAGTGACTAAAAATAAAAATACTGCTATCCAGCATTATCAAGGATGCAGGGCAACTGGAACTTGCATATATTGATGATGAGAGGGTAAAATGGTACAAGTAATTTGGCAAACAGTTTTAAATTTTCTTATAAAGGTAGGAATATTTTTACATTTGATCCAAGAATTTCACTCAAAAGAGAAATGAAAACTCAGGCCCACATAAAGACTAGTACACAAATGTTCATAGCAGTTTTGCTCATAAGCGCCTCAAACTAGAAAAACTCAAATATCCATTAACAAATGAACTAGTTTTTAAAAATGTGTTATGTCCATTACAATGAAATACCACTTAGCAAGAAAATTAAGGAACTACTCAGACACTCAACAAATATGAATGAATTATAAAAACACCATGACATTAAAGCAAAAGGTGGCAGTTACAAAAAAGCATACACACAATATGATGCCAGTGTACAACAAGCAAAACGAAACTATAACAAGAGGAAACAGATTAGAGGATGCAGGCTGGGGAGGAGAAGTAACAATGACTACAAAAGGACTTGAAGGAACTTTTGAGGTGATGGACATATTTTCTATCTTAATTAAGGTAATGGTTACATGAAAATATTCATATATCAGAATTCACAGAACTGAACAGTTACAAGTGCATCTTATTTTATGTAAATTGTACCTCAAGAAAGTTTGTACTCAATATTAAAAATGCGTTACCTCTCAATTCTACAGACTACTAAATACTCAACAGTATACAAATTCACAAATCCACCAATCCCACAAAATAGTGAATTATAACCCACCAAAATTCAGTCTTTTTCTTTTACTACTTCAAGTAATTCGGAGATCTACAAGTAGAATGAACTAAAAACACATAAAATCAAGAAAAAGGTATTCTTTATACGATTCTAGTATACCTAGTATATGATATATAAAAATCAGAGAACTTCAAAATGAAAAAAAAAAGGAGTGTTCTACAGGAACGTTTTAAGGTCCATGCCTGGATTTGGAAACATAAACAGTTGATGATCTCCTTTACAGTTACTTGAAATTTCAGAATGAAATTAGATAATATAACTTAGAAATCAAAAAAACTGTAACACTGGATATATATTTATTCATACTGTATCCAATTCTCCTAAGAGCTGAATTCTCCTAAGAGCTCCCAATTCTCCTAAGAGCTGAAAGTCAGTGAATTAAAGATTGCCAGTATTGTATTTTCTGTGCTAAGCCACTGGGCTTAGTAAACAGATTTTTTTTCCAGATTCCCATAGAAAACAGAGTGCCTAAAAGAGAGGGAAAGAGGTAGAAGGGGTTATGAGTTTGCTATGTATATTTTACTGGAATTTTTGGTGTAATGCCTGACAAATACTAATGTTAGGTATTATTAACAAATACATTTTAAGTATTATTTTATTATGATTGAAGGTAGGATACCCTTGAATTTTCCTGCTCAGAAATAATACTCTTCTGTCCATGCCAGTGATTAAAAATCAATTCAAAACATGTTAAATTCCTGTCATTAACACAATTTCTCCCTAAGAGGATGTATCCTCATTCACGTCTTTGTCTAATGCTGGTTTTAACAGACAAGCAAATTAGTTTTGAATGGAGAAAGTAGAGGGAAGGCAAGTCTCACAGATTAGGGTTTCTTGTGATAGGTAACTTTAGAAAATGAAGTATAGCAAGAAGGCCTCAAGAAATAAATCACCTCCTCTTGGAAGAACTTCCTAAATATCCAGACTGGATTAGGTGCCCTGCAATAGACTCATTGTATCCTCTATTTGTTTTTATCCTCTCATTATATTATATGCTCCAAGAGCAGAGCACAAGAACTCTATCTTATTTACAGGCTTATCTCAGAAACCAATGACATATGTTCTGGCACAGGAAAAAAATTTCAATTGCTAATGAATTAATGAAAATCAAAAAAAGAGAATCTAGAAGTGGATGAAAGCTCAGAAAGGGAGCTGATCAGAGAAGAAAACAAATTACCAACACATATTTAATTATAGCAAAAATTCCTATGCTCCTAACAGACTGCTAAGGAGCAAGTAAAGATAAAGGCGTATTTTAGAAAACTGTTATCTCTAATTCAAAACTGCTTCAACCCCAGACTTTCCTTTACAATTCTACATCAAAAGGAGAAGACAAAGCGCAAAGGAAAAGAGCTACGTGCATAAGCTACACATCTCTCTCCTCTCCCCAGCCTCACTCTAGTATCCATTTATTAGTATTATTCTAAACCTATCTAGTTATCTGAGAATCTGATGTACTTTAACATATAAGAGTAACTAAACTAATCAAAAAAGAAAACACACCTTATACACATAACCAATTCAGAATCGATGGAATTCAAATTAATGAAACTATCATGTCCTATAAATCTATGCCATCTTTACAAATTAGATTTGGGGTCATAATTAAAACAGCTCTCGTACCATTAAAACAGCTCTCATGCCATTAAAAATTCAGAAAACCAGTCTCTCAATTGTGTAGGCCTATTATATTATACTACTCTCCATTCGAAAACAAATTGAATGCTTTGCATTTTTCTTGAGGGACATGTTTTCCTTATTGTAGACTAGGAGCTGTTTTAACCCACCACAGAGGATAAATTCCACCCTTAACATTAAAATCACCAAGAGTGACTAAATTACCATCTCTTCGAAATGTCCTCTTTGACAAAAAATATACATTTCTTTGTTTTAGTAGATTTGTACTGAACATCTGTCCGCTAGCTATTTAACACCGCAGTCTCTAAGTGCTGTGAGGAATAATAAAATACAAAGTCTTCACTCTCAAAAAATTTAAAATCTTGGCAGGGAAGACAATACAGAAGAAATATGACAACAATGATAATACCTAAGAATTAAAGCATGGTATAGGTAATAGGGTCTATTTGTCATAACAGAAGGGAAAGATAAAAGTAGACTCCAAGCTCCAAAAGTCATTTTCAAATTTGATTAAAAAAAATTGGGAGAACATTTTTGCACCCAACACTAATGATAAAGGACTGATCACAAAAATCTGCAAAGAGCTGATGAGACTCAACAACAACAAAGAAAATAATCCAGTCAAAAAATGGGCAGAAGAGCTAAAAAGAAACTTCTCTGAAGAGGAAATGCAAATGGCCAACAGGCATATGAAAAAAGGTTCAACATCACTTGTCATCAGGGAAATGCAAATCAAAACTACCATGAGATACCATCTTACACCAGTGAGAATGGCACATATTAAAAAAACTAGCAACAACAAATGCTGGCGAGGGTGTGGAGAAAAAGGAACTCTTCTGCACTGTTGGTGGGAGTGTAAACTGGTCCAACCACCGTGGAAAGCTGTGTGGAGATTTCTGGACCTACTAAACACAGAGCTTCCATATGATCCAGCAATTCCACTCCTAGGTATTTACCCAAAGGACACAGAAACATCAATTCCAAAGAACACCTGCACCCCTATGTTTATAGCAGCACTGTTTACAATAGCTAAGCTTTGGAAACAACCCAAATGCCCAAAAATAGATGACTGGATCAAGAAGATGTGGTACATATATACCATGGAATATTACTCAGCATTCAAAAAAGATAAACACATGCAATTTGCAGCAACATGGATGGCGCTGGAAGGGATCATGCTCAGCGAAATAAGCCAAAAAGAAAAAGAAAAATACCGGATGGTCTCAC